CCCAGCCTGCAAATCCCCCCCTCCCCCCCCCTCCGGAGAGGATTCAGTGTATAGTCTACGTGCTGCAAACACACTTTTAACCAATAACATTTAGTTTTCAGCCCCCAATAGGTTGCTGCAGTTATTGGTTGGGAGAATCTGGACACACGTTTGCTGTAGGGATGCACCGATAATGATACTAGTATTGATATCGGTACTAGTATTGATATCGGTGCCGATACCCAGTATTTGGGAGAGTACTCGTACTCGCCGCCCAAATGCTCCGATGCCTAGCACGAGTACTTCCTGTATCAGGAAGCCGGGCAGTGCGTCATTACACGCCGCCCGGTTTCCCGATTGGCCGGGAAGCGGCTCCATGCTCTTTTGTCACTTGTGATGAGAGAGCATGGAGCCGACATCCCGGCCAATCAGGAAGCCGAGCAGGGTGTAATGATACGCTGCCCGGCTTCATGCTCCCTCACCATCTCATGACGAGGGAGCATAGAGCCGGCTCTGGCTGGGAACCGGAGGAAGGCCGCTCCTGGCTGGAGAGGCCCCGGGGGTGACAGGGTGGACATGCCGAAGTGAGAGGGGAAAGAGATCCGCAGCATGCAAGCCATAGAGCCGAGCACTGCAGAGACGTGCTGGATCATATGATTATTATGGGGATTTGTATGGGACGGCTTTCTTGTTAATCGGGAAGCCGGGTGGCGAGTCTTTACACGCCACCTGGCTTCCTGAATGGGACTTCCGGTACTCTGTAATTGGTATCAGCGCGTAGCGGAAAAAAATTATCGGTACTCGGTACCAAAATAGCGGGTCGGTGCATCCCTAGTTTGCTGTATATTAAGCTTCAGCGGCCAAAAGTGATACATGTGAATTTGCATCTTCCCCTAGAAATGTGGTCCCAAAACTCACCTAACCCTCCATGATATAATCTAGTCCTTACACCTAATTCACTGCCTAATCCTCACCCCTAAACCGTCACTCAATCCGCAATCGTAATACCAAAACCTCAATCCTATATTAAGAACATAAGCTTTGCACTAAATTGAATCCCCATCATTCTAACCTTGTATACCTAGACACCATAAACCCCAATACTTGGTCCCCAGACCTCATCACTAATCCATAAAACTATATCCCAAATGACTAACATTCAACTGAAACTCCAATTCTGACGCCCAAAGCTCAAACTAATCCTAAAGCATAATCCTAACACTTTAACCCAAGGTCATAGTCCTAGGCCAAACCCGAACTCTAGTCCTAACTATGGATGCAACAATACCGGTTTTTCGGTACTCGTCGATACCAAATATCGGAAGTCGGGCGGCGTGTAATGACTCATCACCCAGCTTCCCGATTAGCCGGGAAGCAACCACCATGCTCCCTCGCCACTAGGAAGCATGGAGCCGGCTTCCTGGCCAATCAGGAGCCT